TGTTTTCTACGACCAGTACTCCACCTCTGTCCTTGTCAGAGTCGGCCCAGTCGCCATGAGCGCATGCTTGGAGAACTTCTTGCCAAGGATGTCGCTTGACCATTCATTAGCGTTAGGAACTGACAACCTCGTGGCGATGGCTCTTTCGTTGTATTCTATGCCCTCTTTCTGGCATTATTCCGTCTCCATGGCTGACAGTTGTGTAATGTGAAAGGCCGAGACAGCAAGGATCACGTACAAAGGACTCTTTCAGGTAGCGCCATCGGGGATCGAGTCGAAGCCCTCTAATGGGCTCTGAGAAGGTGCTAAAGTCAGCATCATCAAGATGGTCGCTGGTATTTTCTCAGGAGTCGTCTGTGGTGACAGTCAATTCGAAGAGGCCTAACTTACGCGCCTGCTCGTGAGACGAATCGCACCCACGTCTTCCGTCAAGACCAGCTATAGCTAGAAGTCGGGCCCAGGAGTCGCCTGTGAAGACAGCCAATTCGTAGAGGCCTTATCTGCCCGTCTCCTGTCAAGACGAGCGGTCGATACGGGCCTGGCCTAACTTTCTTCCTTCGTCACGACGCGTGACGCGTATGTAGCTGATTCGTACAGGGGAATTAAGTAAATCCGCCATGCACGTGCCTTTTACGTTACCCTACCTACCCTATACTGGTACGATTGATGCAACCGCGTTACGATAACCCAATACCTCAACGAAATAAATTCCTATGAAATCCCATATCTATCAATCGAACTCAATATGAAGAAGCCCGAATTAAAATTGATTGATGACGAAAGATCTAGAATTGGAATGATGTTGTTGATCAAAAACCGAACAACGGAAATTTTTCATCCTTCAATACGCGATACTTCTGAACGATTTATTGAAAAGGGGAACACGGTGAGGAGCCAAAAGGGATGAGCCAATGAGAGCGCGCGCAAGTGGGTCCAGCACGTGAAGACACGTGGCCCACCACAAAGTAAACAACGCCACGAATTAAGGGATTTTGGAAGGTTTAGGAGTCAACTTGTCGATTAGAGAGATATCTCATAGCAATAGCTAGTTAATTGCAAGTTGGCAGCAACGCAGAATTTACTCGTCTTCACTCCTCCACTACACCGTATTTTATTCTGACACACAGCGGGTGATGAAATGATCCACGGCGACCCCAGGGAGTCTGTTCTCTTAGATCTCGCTGGTGCCAGAGTAATCTCATATGCGAACGTCTTTTAAATTCCAATTATACCGGCCTTTGTCTCTCTGTATCTTATCTCACAAGCGGTTGCGACCTTTCGCTTCCACTGCCGAATTTAAGCGAAATTCGATTTTCACCACGTGAGGAATTTGAGATTCAGGAGGGGGATGATGCCGTGATCCCGACAAGGATCGATCTGTGCCCCTTCTTTAGTAAATTCGCTACCTATGTTATCAAAGAGCAGTCAACGTTCTTGCTAGCGCTCTATTTGGATTACCATGGAGGGTAAACCACGTCATTCATTCCAATTTCGTCATAAAGGTACACGTCGGAAATCCATTTAAGAGTCCAGTTGGTGGTGCAGTCAGACCTTGCATCGTTACTATGCCTGGTGAGGCCCTTTCTGAATAAAACTCTTGTTCATGTCTTGAGAAAGACTACACCAGCCCGCATCGAATATAGCAGAGAGAATCTACTTGCGCCGAGGGCCACGAAATAGATTGAGATCCAGAAGTCATATGACCTTGAAGTTTGCCTTCGCAGGTTTAATTCCATTCCATTGATTATTTTATGAAACTTGTTAGCCTAATTTTCAAGTCATTGAGTCTGAAAAGCATGGAAGACTTTTCTCTCTTAATGGTGGGCATTTTGACAGAGAAAACACTAAGAGGAAAAAAGTGTGTGTCGACTTTCTAACTGTGCGACTCCAGCTACTTTATACAGACTCTTCCTAGCGGACATAGACTAAATGGCTCTCAGTACACGGGAGCAGCTCGGAGTAGTCTAACTTGCGGACTCACTTGCGGCTTTGATGAAATGCGTTGTAAAGCTCGGTAGAGCGGCGAGTTGACTAGTACCTGTCGACGCAGGCCGCCGCCGGTTGCGCTACCCCAGCTCGTATAGCACCCGCACCATCCGGCTGGAATACGTGCCCATGTCATGACATCCCCCAGGCTCCACCTTCTCTCGTCTATGCAGTCCGTCAGGAGCTGAAGGAATCCTGATTTAGAATTCCATCGCGTGCCCAGCTAACTTGCCCTTAATCATGCCACCGAAGATTGCTGGCTTTGCAACAAGACGACAGTGACTGTTATTGCAGATTTAGATTCATATCCAGCAGTATGCATAGGGTTATTCCGGCCCCTCTATAGTAAACAAATCTCACAGGTCGTCCTGCTCTGTCGTTGTAAAGTGAATACTACGTTGCCCTTTATATCTACAGTGATTATTTTCAACATCTTCTAGAACGATCATGTCAGGTAGACTGCCCATGACAGCTCAGACATCTCAGAGTCTAGAACACGCTTGGCCGTTTGCTACCTAAAACCGCCACAATCGTGCCAGGAATAGAATCAATAAATTAAACATGACAAAACGGCGAACCCGACATAACGGAGACACCCACACCGATCCAAACCTTTTCTAGTGGTATTTGATCCTTTCAATGCTAGGCCTGAGATAGACTAAGTTGATATAAAGAAAGCATGAGCCCCCACTTAGTGTATGAACTAGACCAACCATTATTTTATGGAGTATAGTAGACCTCAGATACAAATACGTAAAAAAGAGCCAAGTTGACCAGAATGGTTGAAATGATCAGGTCTATACATGTCTGGCGAGTAAGCGCCATGAATTGATCACTGACGAAAACAAAGAAAAAGAATTTACACTTCAGCTGTAAGCTGGTGTTGTTTTCTTCCAACATTGAGGAGGAAGTAGTGCTGCCCCTGCTCATAGTCATGCTTCTAGATGGCAATTGGCAAACGCCGAAGACTCCACCAGCCGGCCGTTACCTTTTACAAAAGTGCCCGGAATAAGTATTCTCATGTCATTGCTCGGATTACGAAGACTCCACAGTTAATCAAAGCCGGCTGTTGGATGCAAGATGGTTTTCGCATATGGCCCTTTGCCAGCCAATCGGCTGTTTTTTTCCCAATGAATTTCTGCTCAAGACCTGGAATAGAAAAGCCGAGAGGAACAACAACCTGGCTCTTCTCCTTTCAATACAGCCCAGGCTAGGCGGAGGAGCTGCCTGAATGAGCGTTGAGAATCATTTCCTGCCTTGCCACAGCCTCGTGTACACATATAGAAATATAGAGATTTTAATCCATTTCGATCAAGCTATATAAGGAAGCGCCGCCTTGAGCTTTTAAAATTTAGAATCCAGCCTCAGATTTATATATCCTTCTTCAACAATTGTCTTCCTACCAACAATCTCTTCTTTCCAAAATTATTTCACTTTTATATTCAACAAAATAGACCAAATGCATTTCAGCACAGTCTTTACCTTCTCGCTTCTCGCTCTCTTCGGAGGCGTCACGGCCCAGCGAGGACACGATGGCCTCGCTAGACGAGCTTTGTATGCCGACGAAAAATTGGAGCTAGTGCTAAGCGTAAGCATTCAGATTCCCTTCCTCCAACCATTTTATCTTAGGGTTCGTTGCTAATGAGATTCTTTTTGGATATGAAGAAACGCGCGCTTCCTCCCCCAGGCTCATGCGTCAAAGACCCAGTCACCAAAAAGCTTATGTGCTTCAAGGGGGGCAAGAAGTGTGGCGGCCCATGCTCTGGCAGTGCCAAGCAGTTTGATGGCTGCTTGTGCAACTACAGACCTTGAGTGAGGAGTGGAGGACTATATCTTCGTAGGATAAGCTCTGAGTATGGTCCTTTCGTATTTGAGCTTCCTCCTTGTCTGATTCGACCAAATAGCTAGTGGACCTTAGGCATAAATGTGAAAAGCACTCACTATGCCTATCCTTTCACCAATGAAAATCATTGCTCCTTAAACGTTTAAAATTACTTATGTGAATGCTTATAATGGACTGGGTAATTTCATCCTACTCTATCTCGCTAATATGGACGACTACTAAGCTTCATATAATGACGTTATTGTAGATTCAAAACCGCAGTAGTGTTATTTACGTTTCCCGTTCGATAAAATGCGGTCTACCTGATATACTCATCATGATGTGTTTATGGAGCATAAAGGGATGTCCAAGTTCATCACCAATGTAGTCGACGTGCGAGGAATTGTTCAGGGTGTTTTTGGCAATATTGCTACTAGAAGCGACGCTGCTGTTCGCTTCTATAGCTGGAAATTTAAGAATTGGGAGCCCGAGCTCTTCACTCTCTCGCCCCAAGCAGATGGACGACGCCATTGTAACAGTCGATCCTCAAATTGGCTAAGATATTAGGATGGTATAGCACAATATTAGACAGTTCGCCTAGGCTCAGCGAGAGGTGATTCATGATCTCAGAGTCCATCACCCGGATATCAGCGGAGGCATTGGCAAATCAACCACGGCGTAGCCATTGAACGAGAAGGTGCCCTTTTAATTTCACGTGATGGATATCATCATGATATAGTGTTCCCTCTAGCTCCGCACAGTCTCTCAAGGCGTAGAACTTAGTCTGGCGGGCCACGTCTAACTAGCCCAGAATGGTTGTGCTTGTATTGATTTGCCCGACCTCACCCTACCTCTAATTCTGTTAGCTCTCATTATCACTGCCCGCTTAGCTTCACCTGACTTTATTCTTAACGGTCAGTATGCCACTCTCATGGTCAACTAACTTAGAGGTGACTTTGGTCTAGAAAGCCATAGCGACCTCTCGTCTCGGCGGAAGACAAATAGATTAAATCTGTAGAAATGATTTCTTTGACTTGTTTGTCGCTGGCCGGCTTTCACTGTTAAAAAGGGTACATTATCAAACAACTATTTTAAGATGTCATGTAATAGTGAGCTAATAGATTTAGATGTGATAAGAAGAGTCATGCGCAGTTGTTAATTGCTGCAAAGTACCTGTATGAATAGTTGCCATTTATTTACTGTGTTCTTGGTTTAAAAGTTCATCCGAGTGAATCGGACCCACGGGGAGAGAGAATGGCTCCCAGTTGGCGAACAACGTAAAGGCCACGCTACTTCCAAGTAGAGCAGCTGCTAATTTGCGGCCATGGCTATATGCCACCGAGCGGACCTTCTCTAGCTCCGCTCTCTTATAACCTTGGGGGATTACATTAATGACTAGCTCCTTCAAATTTGGGAATCTCTGTACTTCCATACTGAGCTTCTCTAGATCCCCCCATATAGACGTATCTTGATATACGCGGAGATTCAGAGTGTGTAGATTTGGGGGGATGTTATCAACGAGGCAAGATGGGGCTCCTTCTTTTTCGTGACGATGTATACAAATGGAGGTGTCGTCAAGGTGGAGCGTTTCCAGCTTTGACAAGGCACGTAACGACCCTTTCTTTAATACGTGTCTTGGTAGAGCTTCGTAGGAGAGGGCAGTGAGATCGATGTCCAGTGAGGTAAGTGAAGACTGCACTGGCTGAAGGCAAGCTAAAAACCCAGGAACTGAAAGGAGACGGTTAACGTCCTCGTGCACCCAAGAAAGGCCTAATGAATATCGAAAGCGCTGTAGATTCGGGGCGTGAGCAATCATGTCGCTCAGAAAAGTGTTAGAGGCTGGATCCTCCTGCAAGAAACATTGATCCATTTCAACAACACGAAGCGGTCTTTCCGCAGAATCTTGGAACACTCGCCGGCCAGAAGTACCAACGCATCCTAGCAACTGGATGTGCTCTAAGTTTGGTGAGATGTTCAACAAAGTCGTAATGGCAGGGTTGTCGGCGCCGAATCCCCAATCGCCATCAAACATTAAATGCTTCAGATGGGCCGAAGCCGCAACAGATCCCAGACTATCGTAGCGCTCTTGGAGGTATATGAAGTGAGGATCTTCCGAACGCGTCTCGCTCTGCTCCAGTGTTATCTCCAATGACTCAAGACTGGGCAGCATAGCCACCAATACTTCCAAGCAAAACTCTCCAGCACTTATGTCGACATCCTCAGCGCTTTCAAAGTCTGAATCACCTTCTCGCTCCATACTCAATCGCCGAGCAACGGATTTAATGAGCTCAATCTCTTCTTGTTCAAAAATATCCCATCCACAAGAGGAGTACCGCTCTCGGCAAATCCGTTTAACTTGCATGGCGAGATCTGGCCGTTCTTCGAGTGTTCGGACCAACTTGGGAAATCTCAGAGCGTCAGGTAGATAAGGAAGGAAATGATAGAGAAGAGGTTGCGCTAAGTCGCGAAATGTTCTACACATTCCGCTGAGTGCAACCAGGGCCTCTCGATTCTTCTTGTGACACTTGCCGATTTCATGGCTGGGTATTTTCGTATCTGGGCGACAGTGAAGGCATAGATAGCTGCATACCATACTGAGGACTTCGACAGGGAATTCTGATAGCCCTCGTGGGGTTCTAATCGGGGCGTCGTAAGCCATCGAGCAAAGTGTGCGACGTTGATGAATTTATTATGAACAGGAAGATGAAAAGGGTCTTTTTTTTTTGAACAATAAATTATTCTGATTTATAGCTTGATCATGTCACCTGATCTCTTATTATTAGCCATGCTAAGCTTATTCATCTAGATCGATGAGAAGGAATCGCCCCCCCGTTGCTGGTGAGATTCTAGTAATGATTCAATTAGGGCTCGATGTGTTATGGGGATACCCCGGTTAGTAGTAGTAGAAACAATAACCTCTGCAAGTCTTCTTTAGGAGTTATATGAGCTGATGTTACCGCATGACAAAGGAGATCATACTGGTTTAGGGGACAATGGGCCAAATGTCTTGGCCCTCATCAGCGATCAAGCTAACGTCAATCAAGTTAACGTCAATCAAGTGTAATGCTGATAAAAAAGTTGGTTGATACTATTCGAGCTTTATGAAATAACCAAATCCTGCATCTTGAAACTGGCGCTATTTACTACCTCACCGTCCATAAAGCCATGAATGAAGCAATCCCCGACTACTTTATAATGTGTATTCTCATCTCTCACGCTGTTGGGGAGGCTTGTTGGCCGTAATACAATCGGGACTGATGATCCTGGTAAGATGAAGATCTCATCCCGCTCTAGGATTTCTCTACTCGCGATACCAAGATAACCCTCTTCTGTTAGAAACACCTTCCTCTTTATCAAAGTATCCAACATATGCTCGTGGATGGTAGGAATAAGAAGTGAATTGGTGAGAATGTCATCTTCCGATTCCCCGTTCTTGAAGAACGACATGTCTACTCCAGCTGATTGCTTGAGATGATCTGAAATGTTCTCGCTGGAGTCATCCTGACCTGTAGCCCAGAATTCGTTTAGTATAGCAATGGTAGATAAATGCTGAGTTGTCGCCCTTTGGGTCTTGGCAGAACCCCAGCCATGATCTCTGAGCATCGTTCTCCACCACGCATTAATACGCGTACCGCCCCGAGGATATGGGGCTCCTTGAAGTTCGGGAGTAGATATCCATGAAGTAACGGTCTGTCTCTTATGGAGTTCGTTGTGAGAGATCTGTTCGTCTACAAGATCACAGTCGCATAGTGTGAAAAGGTTTGGCGAGCCGCCTCCGTCGAATCGAATTTGATGTGACACAGCCTGGATTCGGTCAACGTAAATGCCACGTAGAAACAACTGACGATCAATGATAGTCACTTGGATCTCCTGCCCAAGCTTCCCGGGAGCAGAAAAATGTCGCATTTGTGCTAGCCAGTCCAATGCCTTGGGATTAGGGTCGGACCTTGTTTTTGGTATGGATAAATCAACCACCCAACTAGGCAGGTCTTGCAGTTTGGTCGACCTACGAGCCCCTGCAAAAGACAAAGGCAACAAGCTACCTCTCATGCGAATATGTTCCTCAGAAACGGCAACAAACAGATCTGCGATCCGGGCTTCGTAATCGGGTACAATATCAGAGCTCGCCAAACCAAGCAGTGCATACACAAGATCATGGGGCTGTGTGGCGTTTCTTTTCATGAGCTGTAATGCTAACTCTAGGACCGTGGGCTTGGAGCCTAAGTTTTGTCGCAGTTCACCTAACTCGTGAAAGCTATCGAGAAGGCTGGCCAGATTCTGGTCGATGGCGTCTCGACTTAAGCCAGCAACCTTACAGCACTGGCTATGCATATGAAGTTTGTAGTTTGAGGCCGCCGATATCATAGTTTCGAGCGGTATAGACACAGAGCCAAAATGCAACCAGCCGACCGGCGCTAAAGCAGCCTCTTGGACAACCCATAGCCGGTAAAACCATTGATCCCAAAAGAAGCTCAAGATGTGATGTTTGAGCACGCTTGACCATATTCTATCCAAGCATAGTACGGGCGAAAAAGCCGTAATCTCCGTGAGATGTGTGCCGTCAGCAAGCTCCCGGAAGATCCAGGCCATGAAAAGGTCGATTTGATCATGACCGCTTGGTGACATAATTGAGGCCCTGTCGCTGCCCCCTTGTGCGAAATTGAAGTGTTTGCAATACTCAGGCCAGAGAGTATTGTAATCGGCATTATCGCCAGAGAAAGTCCATGATTTGTCCTTTTGATCACGGCAATAATATGTTAGGCCGTCCATCCATATATGGACCTGCCGACTCGAAGAGTATATTTCGCCCATAATCTGGACTTGTTGGTTTCGCTCGCTGATGCACAGTTGATTAATGCAGAGAGCGTCGATCCAAATTACTAAAGGTGCACTCTCAACGCCTTGGCGGGGCCGGAGCACGCGAATAGCATTGAACAGAGTCCCGGATAGTGGGACAAGGGTGCCATTGATTAGTATCTTCTTGCTGCTCTCTTTTTTGCTTTTCGTTTCCCAGACGTAAGAAAGCGTGTCGTAGATTGGTTTGTTGGCCAAGCTGACTACTGTCATCTCAGCGTCCAAAGGAGCATCCCATTCTGCTGGTTGGATAATGAGGAGTCTTATTGACGATAGGGCAGATTTGAGTGGTAAGTGTTCGTATGAGAGAGAGTTCATCGTTGCTGCCAACGCTGTTGCCCACGCGTGTCTGCGATACTGACTATTGTAGGTCTCGAACCTGACGAAATATCACGGCCTACGGGCCGTATGTTCCCAAATTCCTGTGTACTGGGGGTATTGGGAACCTTTGCTTGATTGACAACTGAGTGGACGTGACGATTATTTTATCGAGTCACACGCTTGTCAGCAATGCTCATAAGAGCAGGCGGTTAGCGTCATTTTATGCAGGCGGTGTGAGAAAAACCTTTTGAGGATTCTCTGCCCTGTAAGCCACGTGGATCCGGAGTGGGTGGATTGGTTAGGCAGGAGTGCATGAATCTGATTTCTACGTTACAAGGCAGTCGAGGGATCTAGCGGCGACAAAGCAGGTTGTCTCTTTGGCAAGCTAGAATAAACCAATACACATCTTGCGCTGTGGCTTAGAACAGAAACAGGCTTAAACTAATGAGATTTGCGTGTTTCTGTGAACTGTCGAAACAGCCCACGTAAACGGTGCAATGAAAATTCTTAGTCTAGGGATTTCCCACATGCACGCCAGAGGCAAGCATGTTTATATCAGTACCTTTTTATATAACCTCGAAGTGCGTGCCTTAAGCGATAATTCTCTAATGTATCTAATTTATTCTCTGCGGATGAGGTCGAGATCACGGATTGCACTAGGTCGGATGAAATATAGCATATCAGCCTCATATCCCACGTAAAGTCTAAGACAGACTAAAGCCACCAGCGCACACTGTTCATTCCTGTATTCCAGTTTCACTTGGTTCGGTTTGTCAAACCTAAACTCTAGAGTTTTGGCATTGATTAGGCCGATGCGTGCCAGCTAGAACAAATCCGGCCCTTTGCCATGGCCTTTGCTCTTAGTTTGTTCCCCTCACATAGTCACAAATCATTCACCCTTCCGTTCTCCACGCCCAGACGATGCACCTCAGCTCGTTGGCTTCATTAAAGATATGCATAGTGACCATCCTGTGGAAAACATGAATGCGGAGTCAGTGATAGTAAGTATAGAACTATGATCTTTCTTGTTTCGCTTATTCAACATGGTCTTTCCGGATCAGATCTATGACCGATCCTGTCTAACCTCCGACATTCCAGGCCGCACAATGGACCCTAATGTCTGTTGCTTTCTTGCTCGTTATTGCGCGTCTATCCGTACGGTTTCGTTTGAAGCAGAAGAACCTCATCGTATCCGATTTATTTCTCGTGGGCGCCTGTTGTGCAGCTATAGGCATGCTTACTGCAGATGTCATTATCTGGAAGCAAGGCACTTGGCTAAACATCGTGGACCCTGGAGTTCCGACGCTGAAGGTAGGGGCTCCTCTGAGAATGTTTTGTCCTAGTGAACCATCTCACTGTTCCATCCACCCAGGCCCGCTTCGCAATCTGTTTCCTTTTCGACACCGGGTTGTACTTTCCCAAGTTTAGTATCATCGCATTATACTATACTCTCGTTCCTCGTACTCAACCATGGATGCGAATAGCCCTCTACGGCCTTACCACAATCACAACTTCATGCTGCCTCATCACCATCTTCTATACGGGGTTTTATTGTGGACTGGATATAGCCTCAAACTGGTATGTAGTTCCCATTTTGAGACACAAGCAGTCTATCTGGCCAAGTGATCCCATGAACACTGGAGATTAATTGGACTTAGGTCAACTGAGCCAGGGTCCTGCAAGTTCTTTTTTGCTGATATGCCTGTTGAGATATACTGGGGCATGCATCTCGCAACCGAGGTTCTCAGTATGGGAAACTTCACCTAATATCGCTTGAACAATTTCTAACGGCCAGCTAGACTTTATTTTCCCATTTCCCATTGTTCGTGATCTAAGGCTCCCCAATCTTCGCGAGAAGATCGGCTTATATATCATTCTTGGTCTGGGTTTAATCACGATTCTTGTTACAATAGCCCGATACATCAATGGAGTATTTGGTTTCAGCACTTACGGAGCGAGTGAGTACTTGCATCCCAATACGTCTTTCCATATGGGGAAACATGTGAGCAACGATAGAGAGCTAATTTTGTGATCTTGTGCAAGCCCTGTGGGGTACAGCAGAATTGGCCACTGCGATTTCCGCAGTTGCTCTTACAGCCTTACGGCCACTTCTCCGTGTGGTCACAGAGATCGTGACGGACACGTACAGCAGAATCACCAACAAGTGTACAGGATCTTCTCACGCGATTACTGCTAAAAGCTCCTTTAGTTCTAGATCTAGACCTTCTGCTTAACAGATATTAATAATAGAACGGAAATACGTACCTAACTAGTTATTTCCCTCCTGCATATATTCTAGCTGGCCAAGGGCTGATGGTACTTATTACAAACTCAGTTATATGGGTGTTCGTCACGGAGTACCTTTATAAAATCAGATATCCTGGACTGTCACGCTAGCTTTTAAAACCATTTGGAAAGGTTCCAGAGCTCTTTTGGTGGATATGAAACATGCAAGCAGAGTTTTCACTTGAGCCTGCCCTTGATACTAACATCCTGAATGATAATTACGAGACCAATTCCCTGGCAGTAGCTAAAACTTCGTCTCAGGAACTTGGAGCTGATTTCTTTCAATGAATATATCGCCCCTTATCTTAAAAGGCACTACCACCTATCTCCTAAGATTACGTGGTTGACGCCTTACACCCGATGACTAGGATAGGTGCCGACAGGAATTGAAACGTGGCGCCCCCTGCTTGGTGCCCATGATGACATACCATTGCAGGGGGTGGATGGCTGTTAGACTTGAGGAGATGCATATGTATACGCATTTATAAGCTCTATCTTACGTCCGTAGCATGATAATCCTGCTGCCTAGGCAAAGTGAGATGTGCCACTGACAGGCGGAATGAATTTATGGAAGCCTGACGTGAAGGATTAAGCTTCTCCAGTGCTATGAGCAATTAACATTGGAGCCGCGTCTACAGTGAGGCGCAGTGCGCTGATTCATCTTCGTCGTCTGACTTCTTTTCCAACGGCGTCATTCGCGTGCTGAATTCATTATCTTTGTATCAATACCAAGCTACATGAAATGGAGTCGAAAACATGCAACGCAGTGCTCAGCACCACTGAGATTCTCGAGGCAGTCCTGGTCTATGCAGACCCTAAGACCGTCCTCCTCGCTCGGCGAGTCTGTGTGAAATGGAACGACCTGATCTCCAACTCCCCATCCATCCAGCAGCACCTGTTTTTCCGCCCAGTCCCAGGTACGACTCCCGTGGTCCTCAACCCAATACTAGCCGAGGCCTTCCCGCCCTTCTTCCAACGCCCAGCCCCCGCCGGGACTGAGTACGAAGTGTCGGCGCCCGCCAAGCGTTTCAAGCCAGAGGCGTGGGCGAGACAGATACAGGAAATGTTCTCTTTCTCTTTCTCCGAGACTCCCCTCGACCTAGGCGGACGCACCAATGAGGCGACCTACGATGAGGTGCCCGACATCCATCCGCATTTTACCCCCGAGGACTTGGAAGGCCTCCCGCTCGCCCAGGACCGGCGCAACGCCGCCTTCCGCTACGAAGGAGCTACCTGGAGAGCGATGCTCCCGTGCCAGCCGCCGCCCACGTCTTTCATCTGCCTGGAGAAGGTGGAGTCCATGGGCGGCGAAGGTCAGTACTTTCGTCGCATCACTGAGGATGGGGTTGTGGCCCTTGACGATGACGGGGAGGTGCCAGAGGACAAGAAAGACCCAGGGCAGGGCGCTCCCGTCCGCATGGAGACCCTGTTCCACCTGGTGACGGGTGGCTGGGGTGATAAGAATGGTTGGGTGTGGATATGGGCCACAGGAGGTTCGGACACGCCGATTCCAAAGGACGTGGGGTTCAGTGTGATTGATGAGGCACGGAGAGAGGTTATGAAGCGGGCTGTGCAGCGCGACGGTTTGTGTCTAATCGAGAGCAGCGTGACACAATGTACAGGTCCCCCAGGGCCATGGTCCTTCGACAACAAGTTCCGAGTCAAACCTCCCTACAATCTGCCTTGGTAATGAACAGTTTTGCGACTGGCTTAGGATCCGTTACGGAGACAAAGGTAGTAATAGAAGAGTGAAGGAATATGAGGAGTGATAAATGATATCGAGCCTGTATAGACCGACGACAACTTTTCTTCCATTCTATTGCGTGATCATATGCAAATGAGCACCGTCGAGTAGGAGAAAATGGTAGCTTCCATGTGTGCCAGATAAGTAATGGTTCATTTCAAGATCATATTCCTCATACCCACAACCAGACTATTTTCTTCACCAACATGACTATAACTATGTACAACTACATGACTTCGGAGTACAGGAATAACTCTTCAAGCCTTGTTAGCATTGATCCACTCAATGAAGTTGCCAACTCTAGTGTATACTCCGGCGTATCCTTGTCTGGCACATCCGTTACCCCAAGACACAACACCCTGGAGGACTCCAGTTGAGGCATCAACGATAGGACCGCCGCTATCACCACTGCACGCATCCTTACCGCCAGCATCCACACCAGCACACCACATGGCGTCAGTGATAGAGGAGGTACCGTACTGGGAGCGGCAGGTAGCCCGAGAGATGACGGAGACGGTCACCTTCCTCAAGGCAGAGACGACACCAGAGCCGTTCTCACTCGTAAGACCCCTGAGGTTCAAAGTGGTTAATTAGCCGATATTCGCTAGAAACTTAACGAATTTTAGAGGCGAATGTCACATACCAGCCAGCAACAGTGACAGAAGAGCCTGTCGCGGGGTCAGACCCCTGGGTAGGAAGGGTAGCATATTTGATCGTAGAGCTCTCAGGAATACTCGTGGAGAGTCTATAGATGGCAATGTCGTTGTATGGGACGCCATTGCTACCCTCGCTATAACTGGGGTGGATCGTAATGGAAGAGACTCCAACTTGGGTACCGCCGGAAGAGCGGTTCTGTAAATTGTTGTTAGGCCGATGCTTTAGGAATGCGACTTGAAAGAGTAAAGCGGGATCTTCTTCTCCCTCATAAACGGTCTTAGTAAGGGCCTAGTGACTTACAGCTGATCCGGCCCGAACCCTAAGAGACGAGGCACGAACGTCGGCGCAGTGTCCAGCGGTCAGAACAGTGTTGGCATTGATCAGAACACCGCCACAGAAGCTGCTCCCATCAGTAAGACTGACGATGAATGGGAACTCTCCAATCGTAGCCGTGGTACCTCCAACAATCGAAATGCCCACGCTACCCTCCTCAAGCGGGAGGGCTGCTGCCATAGAGACAGCGGGCACCAGAAGCGAGGCCGCGACGGAGCGTGCGTTAACCATTGTTTCTTGAGGGGTGAGGAGATGGCCTAAGTTGATTGCTGAATGACAGGTGGTGATGTAGAATCATCCTGTTGAAGACGGGTTGACCAACCTGTTTACATAGTTTTTGGTTGGCAGGGGGTCATCAGCCATAGGCCCCTCAAACAACATGTCCTGCCACAGACTGTTAGGCACTTTCCTCATCATCTGATGTGCTATGTTGAACCTAGCCACTCCGTCTCAATCAGCCCATGCTATCTTGAGCTATGTAAGCCTTGTGTGTGGACCGCGATGCCATATCCACATACTAGGCATTGCCAGAATTGGTAGCTGCGAGTTTTCTGCGTTTACGACCCTTCTTGGCAATTCTAAAGACGGGTAAGCCGGGAATCCTTCTTCAAAAGGCGCTTCCAATGTAAATCCGGATTCCAAGTATCATTCCGAATGCAACGTCGGGTGTTGAGCATAAATTAGACTTAATCTGAATCGAAACTGGATCCGAACATAAGGTTAATTGTCTCTCGTCATCTTGGACCGAACGGATTAGCCTCTTGGCTGCTTAAACACGAGATAAGGATTCCTTAATTTAGTGGAGCTGAGATTCATTATTTGGAAGGTGTTTTCTGATACAGGATAACAAAGGCAAAGCCAAGAGGATGATCCTTGCTTATTAGAGTGAACTAGAGGCCAATGAATTATCATCACCACGCTACTAGAGCGGTGTATAATAATTATCATTAACAAAAAACGATGGCTGATTGAATTCCGGATCATCTCTTCCAATCAAGAGCAGTGGCTTTGAAGTTAGTTAAACCTTTCCCAAAATGTGAAGTGAGATATTGAGTCGGCCCAGTGGTCTCCCAATCCATTGTGTTTGAACTTGAGTTGTAATATAGGGAGGTAAGGATGGTGTAACTAGTAAAAATACTCATCGATTTGAAACAAGTCCACCATGTGGCTAATTCTGGGGATCTTGGAAACAGTTGTACGCATGGGTCGCCCCGAGCCATCAACCATAACCCAGAGGTAAATGTGACCACGGGGACCGCCACATGGGACCAATCAAACAATGCGATGAGAGGACAATGGAGTAATTTACCACGAGATTTTGGATCATCTTCAAACCTGTGTAGCTCTAATTATACGGGCCTATGCATGGAACCTTTGTACAGGTTATCACCTACTGGATTGGAGGGCAGGCGCAAAAGATCAGAGAGGGGAACAATACCACATGACTGTGTGCTTAGCATTTTCTTTGTAACTGATTCTGGAAATAGACAGTTCCAAGCGCGGAATATGTTCTCTAAACCTGTGGTTAACATCGGAATAGGAAGCTGGGGAAGCCGGGGTTAAAGCTTGGTTTCACTGGGCCAGAACAGGAAGCTGGACCTACCATTGAATCATATGGCTCACTTTGTGGAGAATATCAAAAAGAGCACATAAATGTCAACAGATTTAGTAAGAGTCATACCATCCTGCTTTCCTCCTTATCTGTCTTCTCCGACATCGGATACTTATGAAACCAGTATGCTGCTACTATTGCACAGAGGCTTGAGACTTGGAGGCTTTTTTGCTCCTCTCCTAATCGGGACATCGTTTCTGATCTTAGCCAAGTGTACGGACGTATACTTAATCTAAAACGCAACGTGTCCACATTGATGAAGACGTTGTTGGCAAGGTAGGATTGTCAAAATTGACTGTTGGCATCTTGAGCGGCACAGCTTAATTACCTACCACACCAACAACCAACAATGCAGCCTGACCATCGCACACTGGCGTTGCAAGATAAGTCCCTCAAAGAATTTAAAAGAAAGTGTCAATTTATATATACTCCATGACTTATTAATTAATTACTCAATTGAATACATCATTCATTTAACCCCGTCCCGAGTGAGGCACGATGCAGTGGGGCCAACTGCGTGAGTGCCGGTGAAAGAGCTGTTCCCGACCGTACGCAAGTTCATTTTCATTCCTTACATCTCAACAGTCTACTTGAAACTACAGCCATCATGGATTTGGACTTGTTGAAAGATTTTATAGCATCACTCCAGCCCGACGCGCCTCCTTTGCGAGTACGAGACCCTCTGGATCTCGACGACGCCACCCGCGAGTTGTATAGACGAGCCATCGCTGACCCGTCGTCTCTCAGCGAAGAAGAACGGAGAAAGATACTGCGCCGTCCGCCTCCTGAAGAGGAAGACGCAAGGTCCCGCGAGTTATGTGGCTCCACCATGTCCGAGCTCATCACTAAAGCCATCCAAAATCACGAATCGCTGACCTACCAAGAATCAACGTTGGTAATGGCTCGCCCCAAGGAGAGCTATCCTGGAGAGCTGCTACGGGAAAAGTGTCGGATGAGCGAAAATGATAGAGACTTGCTTCATAAGGCAATGGAGGCCGCACCCACAGCAGACGAAGTTGCCGCTCAAAAGAACGCCATGGGCATTCAAAACCTCTGGCGTGAGCACAACAATGCTGCCTATGACGCTTTAAGTGCTTTTGATCGTGCTCTGATCAAGAGAGCCGGACACATACCGTGGCAAGATCACATTATAGGCCCGGAAGACCCATTTCGCAAAATAGCGACGTGCGGATTTGTGGTGTTTTACTCAGATGCGGTCAACTGGCCGTCATTCAACGAGCGGATGCAAGCGGCAACGAAGTACGGATTCGATCTTTGTATGTCAAGGATCAGAGACTCCATCAGGGAGGGGTTCACCTTGCACGGGGTACAGTACGACGACGCCGAATCGCTTCAAAGCCGCTTCGCCGCCGTGCGAGACGTGGATGAGATCCCGAAAGGCTTGAGGCAGGATGCATTTCTCTACGTCGACGATGAGGCGACGCAATCCCTGGAGTCGAGCAGGCCGTTCGTATGGCTCTGGGAGCCCCAGGAGACAGCTAAGCCGCTGAAGGTCAACGCCCAGCACATAGCACCGCTGCTAATTGCGCGACTGACGCAGCGGGACCTCTCAACAGAAAAGGATCAGAAATGGCCTTTCAGGAGCACGCCGGACCTAGAGCAGATGCACAAGATGGCAAGACGGTCGACGAATGGGGCTGGCGAGCGTGATGGCATCTGGCCTCCAAACGCAACTTCAATGTAAAACAGAATCAAAGAACAACAGAGCCTTATGACGCGAGAGTTGTGGGGGGTAGAGCCGGCAATAGGTGAGTCTTTTTTAAGAGGAAAGGGGCATGGTGATTAACGCCAACCTGCATCTCAAATCTATCCTCAGTTTTGCCCACTGTGAATGGGATCAAGTCGGGATTACAGATAAGAAGATTGAGCTGCCTCGTTACCAAACTGGAGGAGGCGTCTGTAATCATCACCACCGTTCCCTTCCATTGCCCGACGAGGCCTTCATCCTCAATGATCTGCTGAGCAATAGGTCCGCACCACCATCCCCTTAAGGGTTTCTGTAGGGCTCAAAGTATTTCTCGTACTTGAAAGCCATCTCAGTTGGGGAGATCAAGTAACATCGGTTTCTACATCACGTAGCGATTTCATAGACAACGAATGAGGTAATCCATTGTCTCGTTTTTGTCGCTTCGTAATTCCCCTCTCTTATTATTATACGGTCCCAATTCTTTCGTTTACATCAACCGGAAGACTGGGGTTTGTTCAAGGAACCGTAATGATGGAACTTGATGAAGAGACGTGATGCAATTAACTTATCTCCGGTTCTTAGTCCCACTAACGGCGAAATCTCCGGTCTTTTTCAGTGCCGTGGCCTCATAGCTCCGCAATAAAATATGAACTTACGACTCTAGGCAGCGCCCAACAGTCTGGGCTGATTCACTGATCTCGTATTTCCAGGTAGCGGTAAAGGTTTTACGTAGACCACGTGTGTACTGATCAAGGCGATTCTACCTCTCGGCAACGCCCGTCACATCGTATCGTTTGTAGGCCACATCCTGTATCCCTCACAATGCCTTCCTACCAACAGCATTGGCTGAGGATGGTTCTTGAGGCATGTGGAAATGGACCACGGGATTGATAGATGGGTGGGCACTACTGACACTTGTGGGGGGAGGGGGTGGCTATCCTCAGTTACCTAGCCTATAGTACAGTTGTGTAAAATATATAAAGTTCTCGTATCTGCGCCCTTGCCTTTTATTAGCCTCATTTCTTTGAAATTTCACTCTATATAGACCCAGTACCTCCTTATTCACTATGGTCAAGGTAGCAGTCGCTGGAGGAACAGGTGCCGTGGGCAAGACTCTTGCAGATGTCCTGGCTGGCCAGACTAAGCATGAGGGTATTATCCTCACACGAAAAGTCAGTCAAACTCCATAGTCTTGGGATGGGTTCCAAAAGATTGCTAACTACCGTCACAGGACCCTACGCATAAATCCCCCCCATTGCCTCAGTACACCGTTGATTACGACAATGTCAGCTCTCTGACCGCCTTTTTGGAAGAGCATGACGTCCATACTGTCATCAGCGCGTTTGGCATCAACGCGAAATCTCTCACGGTCTCGCAAAGCAACCTCATTCAAGCTGCAAATGCCTCGAAGGCCACTAAGCGATTCATTCCAAGTTCATTTGCTACAGCATATCCTAAAGAGTAAGTACGAGAAAAAGACAGAGGTTGAGGCCCATCTTTGTTAACCTTTCAATTTTAGTGGTCCGCAGATTCTCCCTCCGCTTCAAGCATACTTTGATTCCCTAGATGCGTTAGAATCCACTAGCCTCGAGTGGGCTGTCGTGCACAACGGTATCTTCCTGGATTATTACTTTCCGGATACCTTGAAGTCGTACTACAACCATACTACCTTGGTCGTGGATATCCCCAACGGAGCCGCCGCGATCCCTGGAACTGGCAATGAACGCCTCACTCTCACATCTATCCATGACTCGGCGCGTTTTGTTGTTGCAGCACTCGATCTCCCGGAGTGGCCGCGTGAGCTCCGTGTTGTCGGGGACACCTTAACATACAACGAGCTAGCCAAACTGGCAGAAGAGGCTCGTGGCGTCAAGTTCGATGTCAAGTATGACGAACTCGAGAAGTTGAAGAGGTTCGAGGTCTCTGAGTTGCCAGCACATCAGAATGACTATAAAAGATTCCCAAAAGACGTCCTATTGCCTTTCTTGTCTATTTTTGAGCGATGGACCGCTGAAGGACTTTCAGAGATTAAGTATGAGGGTTCGCTCACTGAGAAGTTCCCTAGTATTAAGCCATTGAAAGTTAAGGATCTAATGGACCAGTATTGGAAGGCTTAGATATTTGGAAATCATTCGCTCCACGTGCCTGTCAAGAAGTACCTGGCTAATATAGCATCCTGAAGACCAAATGTTGCTACGTGATTAATAACTGGTCCAGTTTAAGGACGCTAGAGATGATCTGACTTTGATAAATTAACCGCTCTATCAAGATTGCCCTTATTGCGGACAGGGCAGTTAGCTAGGAAATAGGTAGCTCCACGGAGACGAAATCTTGCTTGCCCTCGTTCTTAAGCGCCTCGCTTTACCATCTTTCCGCCTCCTCGGTGACCGCCTCCATGGTTACCCCCAGAAGTTGGAAAGTTGAGACCATGCTCTTCAAGACTTTTTAACCTTGCCGCCTCCTCGTTGGCCGCCTCCATTGCTAGGGGTAAGGTTAGTTGCGGCCGCGCTTCACAATCTTCTTGCCTCCTCGTCGGGGACCGCCTCCGTGGCTGCTGCTAGGAGTAGGCAAGTTCCGGCCGCGCTCTTCAAGGTCACGGACTTCGAGCTCATCTAATTGCCGCTCGTCAAGCTTGTCCAAGCCTCTTGGATTCTCCTGATGAGTGGCAAGTCCGTAGCTGGCGAGGCCTAGCCACATAAGCGATGCAACGCTAAAATGCTTGATGGCAACCATTTTGAAATGGACTGAGACTAACGAAACAGTCGTAGATAAAAATAAAGGTAGTGTTGATAATTGAGGAGGAGCTCAGACAAGGAACAAATGAAAATGCTTGAAAAAAGTTGAAGAAAATCAATCTTAAACAAGGACTTGCTATGCTTTGCTTGTGCTGTTGGTGATGTTATGAAAGGCTGGAATTCAAGCAGATGTAGCTCTAATTTATAGATTTTCTTTTCACGGCATTACAGCTTTGCTCAGAATTATTATCTCTGGTGTTTTCTAAAATTAACCAATGACCTACGACGGGGATGTCAGAAGGATCATCATACTGTCAACCTTCAAGCAAAGATGCGTACGACGCTGAAACTTGAGCCAAAGCGTAGCATTATGCCGATCCCAGCAATCCCCAAGTTCCCTACAAGGCCTATCTGCCCCTCTGTATAATGCCGAAGGATGACCGTTGCTTTAGGAAGAGATAAAATAGGTCTATGTACTACCTCTCTATCTTCGCAAAGTCTCCATTGCCTATGGATTCAAACCCTTGCGAAGTGGTGAAGAATACTCACGTACGCACAAACTCCAGACTACTATGTAGAACATGTACCCTTCAGTGAAGGTCTGTCGTAAAGGTCCATCTGTCCCTAAAACGTGAAAATAATCACCGGTAGGCCTAGTTCCATCGCATTTATTGTTTGGTAATCATCAACAGGTTAATTAAGACAACGTATGCCGAGCTATATGCAAGGTATGTGATTCTTGACCAGAGATAGTGTGGTTAAATTTCCATCGGAGTCCGCAGCAAAGAGTGTGATGCTTGTAGTGCATGTTACAATGCACTGCTGTGTAGCCATGAGCAAACTGAATGCCAGCAAACAGTCGATAGCAACGAAGATCTTTCGGATTCTAGACTAGGATGGGATTTTAAGGTTGAGAATCCAGCTGCTGATCTAAGTTCCACAAGACTATTCAAATTTCAAATCCAGTGTCCAGTGTATATGATGACAGAATTTCGGATAGAAAACATCCACAAACACAGAGATCTCGCGAAGAACCGAATCTGGATCGAAAGTATCATGTATCCGGTAGTGTGAAATCGTTATTCAGATTTGAGGACACTTGGCAGACACTCCGCTAATAGGGACGTCCCAAGGAGAATGAATCGGGTCTATGTAACGGTTAAACACAAGATGTTTTCATCCAACGGCGTCAGAGAGTGGCGTGGATGAAGTTTGGCAAAGGCACTGTGCAATTTCGAAAAAGAAAGAAGAAAAAGAGGGGGAAAATGGGTAGCTAGAGCAGAGAAAGGCTAGTGATTTCTAAGAGAATGTCCAGTTAGGCAGACACACATACAATTCATCGATCGAATATCAACTTGGCAGTCATTGGTTTTGTGATGTACTGTCCTGGCGCTTTGAAGCTACGGTAGCACGAAGTCAGCTACACTGGCTTTCAAATACGAACTTGAATTTCTGCCAACTACTAAATATTACCAAAGACTAGTTGTATCTGCTTCAAAGTTCTCAAATATTCCCCCCCTGATTGAATAGATCTGTGCCGTGCCACGCACGATGAAACACCTTCATCCGTCCCTATCGCCCAAAGTTGTGTCTAGTATACGTAAAAGTTGGTCTCTCCGGGGTTCTCCTCTCTCATCTTCTTGTTCTTTCGCTGGAATGTTATTCGCAAAACCCAAGCACCAATAATTACTGCCCCAGAGAAGCCAGCACTAGCCATCATGGGCATTAGGAATCGCGGAGATTCGCTATCTGGCCACAAGTATGGGGTATAGATAGAGGCTGCGTTACCCAGGGTATTAGCCAGGGCAATGGCAACAGCCTTTTTCTCATCAGTCTGTCCACAGCAGGATCCGACCCATGCGAGGATGATATTGTTCACCCCGTATGTGGCACCAACGAAAAGCATGATACCGATAAAACGAGCGGGGACGTTTAACGTGGCGCAAGATAGCACGAAGCCAACAATCGCAATCAACTTGCTGACGGTAGTATGCCAAGTTCTCTCATTATTTCTCCCAGAAGACCATGCGACGGCAACTGAACAGAACCCAGCAAAAATGTAGGGTGGGCAGGTGAGGACGAGAGTGATCGTGGTATTGTACCCGAGCGACTTCATCACTGTGGGAAGGAAGTTTTTCTGTCGTTCGTTAGTTCAGACGTTGTGTGATGTTTGAGAAATTTGAAAATGCTCACAAAGCCGTTGGCGCTGAGGTGACAAGTGTCAATAAAGCAGAACAACCAAACACGCCAGTCAACGACTGCTTCTTTCAGACCAGTCCAGACGCTGGTTCCTTCTCGTCGGTTGGTAGTATCCAAAGCGATACGGTTGTGGGCAAGCTGTCTCTGCTCAGGGCTGAGCCAACGGGTCTTCAGAGGACTATCCGGGAGGGTGAAGAAGGCGATGATCGAAACTGCAATTGAGAACGCTCCTTGTATGATGAACAGCCTAAATGCGTCAGCTTTCCAGCGGCTTCTGAGGTTTCATGTTCAACTCACCATTGCCAACCTGAGAGCCCATGTTTATTGTCCAGCTCAGAAAAGATTGGAGCAGCAATCAGACCAGAGAAGGCACTAGCGCACATGTTTCCGGTGTAGAAAATGGACATTCTAGTTGCCATCTCCTTCCTCGTATAAAACATAGAAATCATGTACAGGGCACCAGGATAGAACTGTTATCAGGTAAATTAGTAACCATTGTGATGGGAGTATGATAATGTTCTTCAGGGTGGCGTACCGGAGCCTCGACGATACCCAGGAGGAAGCGACACACCAGCATATGCTCGTATGTGCTTGCCTTGTAGGTCAAGAGAGAAACAATGGACCAGGCAAGACTAAATCCAGCCATATAGACTATGAAATCTCAGTCAATTCCCGCCAACAATATTGTTGAAGTTGGGTCACATACAGCTCGGTCTCACGCGATTGAGAATCATATTCGAGGGGACCTGGCCACAAAGATAGCCGACAAAGAGGATTGACACGCAGGTGTTGTATTGAGTTCCCTTCATGCCGAGGTGCTTGTCCAGGCCGTTTAGCTTGCCATTGACCATGGCGTTCCGATCGAGGAAGTTGAAGAAATACATCAACCAGAGGATAGGCTGCAACATTTAGACAAGAATTCAATGGGACGTGTCAATCGTGTCAACCTACAAGAATGTACCAGTCAAGCTTTCGCACAAGGGCGATTTCCTTGGGGTCTGTCTTGGTATGAGCGCCAAACTCATCCACCTTCTCGATCTTGGGCATTTTCTGAAACTGCTCGTCTTCGTTTGGGCACTCTTCGACGTGGGCCACCTGGTTCTTCCCACTGTCCACGACAGAGGGCGGCACCTGTGCCGGAGTGTTCTCGTTTGCTGCCGCCATCGTCCTTTGTTCCGGGGGGTCGAATTCAAAGCTGGTGGTACCGGTGTAGTATTCTCTGGTTCGACCAGAACTTGGAGTGTTATTTATCTGAGCATGGCGAGCCGCCCAGAACACAGAGAGACCGTTGGGAAGGAATACCCCACGGGGATAGGTTCGTCAGATCCACAGGCCAGCGGTCCGTTTTCCGGCAACAACAGAATGGGGTTGCAATCTGGGGGCGGGGAAATAGGGATCCACGCCTCATCCTTGGAGGTTGGTGCCAATGGGATGAGAGTTTCGGAAAAGTGACCAACAAGCACGCTAGGAAAACGGACCTTTCGCATTTTCCGACATCCTGTACCCGAAGCCTTTCGTGACATGCTTCCTGGCCAGTCTAATCTTACCTGATACCCGTCCCCTGATAAGCGAGATATTACGGAATGCCAAGCTTGTCGTATCTCTAACCGGGACCTCGTGAGACCAACAGCCAGCCAATATTGATCCATGCTTTGAGAGAGGCTTCCCTATTGGCGGGTAGGCCTTTCGTCTAATGACTGCTGATAGTGGTGCGATAGTCGAGAATCGTTAGCTGTGCACCTAACATTTTCTTTCATTCAATAATGATTCCATTGACAACCATTACTGCGTATAAAATAGAGCTGGAAATGGCTGATCGTGTGGGAGGCATAGTTCTACCGCTAGACTTCTGTACTTCCTTCTCAGCCATATAATCCTCATATGAATCAAAACTAGGCTCCATTCACGTGAGGTCGGCGACGCGAGGATATTTAAACCGAGTTCTATTAACAACCTTAAGACCTCTTTGGGTACGTCGATCGGCCATCCGTGATGGTTGTTTTTTTTCCAGCCTATTATATATGGTAAAATGCTACTAGTACCAGAAAGAGTGAGGGAGAAGTTCATCCAGAGTCACACGTAGCATCCCGTGCCGAGCCACAACCTTAATAATAGCCTTAAGCCTGGTTTGAGATCTACCACTCATCCCAGGTCCATCATCAGCCAATGCATAGATTTTGGTGCCTACTAATAGTCCTGGAATAGCAATATTCCAAAGACTTTCCCACTTACTCCAAGACAGTGAAGACTTCACATTATGAGAACAGTCAAGTCGATACTTCGAGGGCATATCCTGGTAAAGATTGCAAGATCAAAAATACTAATAATAAAAGTGGTGCGTTACTTGCCCCCGCCTATTAAGTATAGTTGGTGCAATTGCTTTCGCAGGTTGTTGATATATGTAATAAGAGGAAGTGACATTCTTGGAACATGATCGTGATGTCGCATGAAATTGAAGCTAGCATAGCTCTCCCTTCCCGACATCATAGTGTTATTATTCTCACCGTCAGAGTGGGATTGAACGGGCTGGGCAACTGGGGTGCAGTTCCCGCATGGGTCATCCCTGGGACCAGGGACATCCTAAGCGACATCAGTGCTGATGTACGACTGATTAATCCCACTGAAGAGAAACTTTCACGAAGCTTAGGAGATAGCTACCCTGCACATCAGTCTGCACATCAGTTGTTGTAGGCCGAGGTGTCTGGAACGAACTCTGCAACTGGTGTACAACAATGTTCTCGAAATGCTCTGAGTAAACCTGTTTGTACATCAACAGACTGCAGGTAATAAAAAATAGGTTAATGACTGAAAGTGGTGTGATTTCCAACGCCTCTGTTGGCCACCTTGAATCGTTAAGATACACGCAGAAATCCACTTGGTAAAAGGTGCTTGCGCAACAACTGAAAGCGCTATCAGAGTTTGAAATCAAATCCCCAAACAAACTGAGAACTTATTAGACAGCAGAATCCCTAGCCTTATCGATAGGAGATGTAAAAGTTGTTGTCCCGTCTAAACTGTGTCTCACATCATTCAACAAGACCCCACAGGCAACGGAGCTGGACGCAATGACAGACCCGCTAACGGCTCGTGAGGGGGTATCTTTGGCATCCGAACATCGGATAATACTCTCAGAAAGCCGATGCCCCCATTAATTTCTACGACGGACGGAGAAGCTTGGGGTTGGGCGAGCGACCTAAAACAATTTATCATCGAGACGTCGCGCAAGCTACTTTTTCATCTTCTCTCCTTTCCTCGTTGACCCCTCGCATCTTATCTCATACCCCTCACCGCTCCTTGCCCATTCGCACGCCTACAATCCTTGTCATAGCCATCATGTCTTCAGGTCGCACCTTCAAGCTGAATACAGGCCACTCTATCCCCGCAGTGGGATTGGGTACTTGGGTAAATCAACCTGCATTGTACGCAGACTAGTTAAGCGGTATCGACTGACACCTAGAATATAGCAATCGGGCCCGAATGAAGTCGCGCGAGCTGTCGAGTACGCCTTGAAGCACGGATATCGCCATATTGACGCGGCTGCTGTGTACGACAATGAGGAAGAGGTCGGCGCTGGTATCAAAGCTTCTGGAGTGCCCCGGAGTGAAATATTCATCACCTCCAAGCTATGGAACACTCACCATGCGGGCGCTGATGTGGAGGAGGCCCTAGACCAGACCCTCAAGGACCTCCAAACCGACTATGTCGACCTCTACCTCATCCACTGGCCAGTCTCATTTAAAAAGCCCGCGAGCGCCAAGGAACGCTTCCCCATCGATCCTGCCGACAAGGGCGTCTTCGTTGTTGATGTCCCAGTCGAGGAGACCTGGAAGGCTATGGAGGCCCTGGTGAAGAAGGGCAAAGTCAAGTCGATTGGAGTCAGCAATTTCAATAAGGAGAAGACTGAGGAGATCCTCAAATTGTGTGTTTGACATTTGCCTCTCTTTGTCACAAAAGCTAACTTGGAATTGCAGTGCCGAAATCAAGCCAGCCGTTAACCAGATTGAGGCACACCCCTTTCTTCAACAGCCTGAGCTACTGGAGTGGTCTAAGCAGCAAGGCATTCACATCTCAGCCTACAGCCCATCCGCGAACAACATTTACAACCTCCCCAAGGCAATTGACAACGAGGTGGTCGTCAAGATCGCCAAGGAGATTGGCAAGTCACCTGCACAGGTCCTCATCCAGTGGGCTGTCCAGCGAGGCACGTCCGTCCTCCCCAAATCGGTCACTCCATCGAGAATCGCAGAAAACTTTGAAGACTTCGAGCTGTCCCCGGAGGTCGTAGCAAAGATCAATGCGTTGGACACCAACACTAGATACAACATGCCTAAGAGACTGGGTCTGGACGTCTTTGGGGAGCATACCGAGGAGGAATTGAAGCAGGCCAGGAAAGATTGGATCGCCGCGCAAGCGAGTAAATAGAACTATCTAGAATAATAGAACACAGTCGGACTAACTCATAAAATTGCCACACCTATACACGGGCTATCGTGCGTCTGATTGATCAGAAATATCATCAACAGTCCTCACCATAATCTTCATGGAAATGATTGTATTTCTGCTGGACCCCAATGTCATCACTCTCAGTACACCGTAATAAAGAACAATCCCACAAAATGCTGACAACTATGACGTGGATGAGTCCGAATGGATTGAAAGATAGACAATGCCACCACAGCGGATAAAACGGACAAAGACCGAAAGTACCCCAAGAAAATGACGGAGCGCGGACGGATATCGTGGCTTCGGGCTAATTATCTCCGAAGTAACTTCCAGCCACCGACATCGGATTATTGAACCGGCCAAGGGGGAGACATTCAAGTCGGAGACGGCAATGTCAGTCAGATCTCGTTCGAATCAACTTCGGCCCGCCACGTGTTGCATTTCCGGCGCCAGGCAATGTGGGGTTATGCAGAGCCCTCTCCAACAAAACCTCCCAAGAAAGCTCAGTTGATGTAGGTGGACTGAGGTTGACTCAAGTGCATTGAGAAAAGCTACAATGGGGAAAATCGCGAGCATCGAGTACTTTCGTGTACCGCCTAGATGGCTTTTTGTCAAGATCACCGACAAGGAGGGTAATGTTGGCTGGGGAGAAGGTAAACTCATTTAATATGATGCTATGTGTTTTCGACTTTCTAACAGCGATGTAGCATCTCTCGAGGGCCATACCCAAGCTGTGGAGGGATGCTTGGATGCATGGATTTCTCAGTACACAGGGATGGAGGCTGAGTACGCAGAGGCCGCTACCTATTATATGAAGTGTCTGATTACTGACAGGCTACAGCGAAATCGAGCAAATTTGGCAAAAGTCGTGGCGAATGGGTTTCTACCGCGGTGGTCCGGTTTTTATGAGTGCCCTATCAGGTATTGATATCGCTCTCTGGGACCTCAAAGGTGAGATTCTCCTTGTTTAACGCAGCCGTGGTAATTGCACGTTCTGACCCCAGTATGCAGCAAGGAAGCTCGGTCTCCCTATCTACGAGCTTCTAGGGGGCAAGGTCCGTGATACAATCAAGGTTTACGCATGGATTGGAGGTGACAGGCCTTCCGATGTGGAGACCCAAGCGTAAGTTTTCAAGCTATTCCGCTGCTGCACTCTTGGCTGATCATTTTCAGGCTCTCTCGAAAGGCCCAGGGCTTTACTGCAGTGAAGATGAATGCAACGGAGGACCTTGGATGGCTGGACTCACCCTCAGCGCTCGATAACTGTGTTCAACGTGTGAAGACTGTCAAGGCGACCGGTCTGGACGTGGGTGTTGATTTCCACGGCCGTGTACATCGACCAATGGCAAAGCAGCTTGCCGCTCTTCTGGCGCCACATCGTCCCATGTTTATCGAGGAGCCCCTTTTATCGGAACATATCGAGGGGATCAAAGAACTTCAAGCGCCCTGCCCCATCGCGCTGGGGGAACGGCTCCACAGCCGTTGGGATGTTAAGCCATTCCTGGAAAGTGCGTGTGTCGATATCCTCCAGCCTGATATCTCCCATGTTGGTGGCATCTCGGAGCTCCGACGGATAGCAACGATGGCGGAGGCATATGATGTCCCTATTGCACCCCACTGTCCTCTTGGTCCGATTGCCCTGGCAGCGAATATCCAAGTCGATGCAGTAACGGCCAACTTTGCCATCCAGGAGATGAGTCTTGGAATTCATTACAACACAG